CTCCAGCTACCTGTCCTGCGAATCCAGCAGGTGGGCCCCCAGCGGGGATCCTTAGTGCGTCCCCAGGTAAACCCGCAGACATCCCGGAAGGGGTGGCCCCTGAGGGGCCCCTTACGAACCCTAGAGGGGGGCCCCCAAGTCCCTCAGATTGCCCCACACGTGAACTTCCAGGTACCCCTCCAGGTAGGCTCCCAGACTGTACTCCAAATTGTTCGCGAGAGGGGCCCCCAGGTGGGCCCCCAGGTAGGCCTCCAACGGGGCCCTCACGTGGGCCCATAGATGCAGCCCCAGAAGGGAGCCCAGCGGGTACGCCCCGTTGGCCGAAAGGCGAACTACCAGCTGGGCCTCCAGGGGGGCCGTCATGCTGCCCAAAAGGTGAAATGCCGTGTGGTGCTGGAGGGGGCCCCCGAAAGGAGCCTCCAGAGGGGCCCCCAAACGGGGCCCCAGACTGGCCCCTCATGCCGGTTGGGCCATTGGTGATGGGGCCCTGATTTAGGAACTCATCCTCTCCTCCTCGACCGTAAGGATTTCGGTTTGGAGGCAGCAGCTGCTGCTGCGGCGGCAAGGGCTGCCGCTGCTGCTGCTGCGAAGGGAGTCCAAGCCAGTCATCGTTGCTTTGCTCGAACTGCTGCCCGTTGCGTTGCTGTTGTTGCTGCTGCTGTGGCCACTGATGCTCACTGCGTGGGTCCACGAACCTGTCTGATGTCCTGCGGCCAGCACCACTAGTATTTACGTTGGTTGCAACAGAAGAATCTTCTGCTGCAGACCCTTGCAGCTGCCACTGCGGGACAACTCCGGCCCCCTCTACAGGCTCCTGATCATCGTTGCCGTTTTCTTCGTGGTGCTCCTCTTCCTTCTGATTCTCCTTCTCCTTTTCTCCTTGCCCTTCCCCCTCTGCCCACTCGTCCTCAGTAGCCCAATCCCAATCGCCTCTATCTGCATCCGAAACATCTCTAAGTTGCTGCGCGCGGAGCTGCTGCTGAAGGGCGTCAGCTTGGTCGTCTATCCCGGAGACTTTCACGGGCAGGGGCCGTTGAGTGTCTGGTGACTCCGGATGAAAGGAGCTGTCGAAGTTGAGAGTCTCGTGCAAGGCATCAGGAACTTTTATATTACCATCTCGCACATACCTTGCAGAAACCACGCTGCTCTCCTCAACGGAGGGGACGACATTCGCATTCGTCACGTTTTCCAATAAAATATGCTGGCGGAGGAACTGAAGAGGTGTACTGGGATGCACGGCGGCAGCAGCTGTCCAATGGTCGCCCAACGGTGCGTAGGATGCCGCAGCAACAACGAAATGCTGCTCTGACGCCAGCAGAAAAACAACTGAAAAGAATAAGAAGACCGAACGGGTCTTTCTGTTCTTGAATATCTGTATAGAAAGCATTGTCGGCCGCGTAACCAACCCACTTGACGCCATATTCAAGTATGAATGTCGTGAGGCTGGGACAGAAGGCGCGGGCACACTGGGGGCCCTGAAGCCTCTGCGCTGAACACTGAATATCCTGTTAGTTTTTTCAGCAGGAAAATCTGGCGGCTGCATGCAGCTTTTCGCGTCTACTCCGCGCAGTTCATGTTCCGCCGAGGGCTGTCTGTGGTTGCCAATTCCGCTTGCCTGTGGCTGAAAAAACAGAAACCTGGATAAACTAAACCATTTCTATATTTCCTCTATCAAACTATGCGAAATATGTGGAAATATATGGCGATTTCATTCATGAAAACGCCCAGGACGCTCGCCGGTCAACCCGGAACCTTCGGGTATAGGCGGGGTGTGCTGCTACTAATATGGACGATGAACAGTAACTGGCCCTTGAGAAGGATATTTGGGATTGAAATACCTTTTTACGGCTATTATGGAAATATAAAACCTGAAAAACAACAGGAAAAATACACAAAAACGGCTGAACCTTTGCCCCAGACTGAACACCGAGCACAGGTCACCACCACCGGGCTTGCAGGGGTGTGTGGCCACGAACAAATGCAAGTTCCTCAGGCCCGCTCTTTCTTATGCTAAGTGAA